AAAGTGGGGCAAACGCTGTTGGAAAAACAGTATTGCTATTCTTAAAATTTATTTTTTTAATCTTTTGACTGCACCACATGTTATGTGAGATCTTAGTTCCCCAACCAGGAATCGAACCTGCACACCCCCCTGCATTGGCAGCACAGAATCTTAACGACTGGAGCACCAGGGAGGTCCCAGCACTTGCTATTTTATAATAGACTTGCTCAATGTAGGACTGTCACAAACCTTCAGTCTGTAAAAACCACACTATCTGTGAAGCGGGGTAAGGTAGAGCGCCGTGAAATGAGCAATGAGATGAGGTGTGTCTCTGCTTGCTCCAGCCCATGGCTTCCTCGTACTTGTCAAGCTCCCTCGCACCAGAGGGCCTTCGTAAATACTACTCCTGCCTTCGTAAATACTACTCCTGCCTGGAACAGCCTCCCATCAACTTTCTGCTCTCCACTTCCATTTACCCTTCAGATAGGAGGGCAAATGCCACTTCTCAGAGGCACTCTTGAGACTCATTTTTCTCTCCTAGGCTCTCAGCGCCCCATGTTTCTCTTCATGTGGCTTCTTGCTGCCACTGCCATTTTCCATATGTTTGAATGAATATATAATATAATTAAGATTTCTCTTCCCTCATCTGACTTTACAGTGTCTATGCTTGTCCTTATAGTGAATCCCCAGTACCTAGAAAATACAGAATCTGGTGCTTAAGAGGCACTCAAGTGTTTTCTGAGTACAATGAAAATTACATGTATCTTAGAACAGCATTTTAAAATTATTACCTGCTAATGCTTCTACCGTTTTTTCAAAATAATTCACTGTAATATCTTGAATAGAGACTATAGCTTCTTCAGCCTGTCTGGTCCATTCTTTGGCTTCCTTCTGCAGGGCAACTATCCTTTTAGGACCCAGATCATCCTCATCCAAGGACTTCTACAGAAAGAAGGGAAAGTTGTTTCCGTAATAGAGAAGAGTCATGTAGAATCATTAGAAAATCAAACGGAAACTGGTCATGTAGATTATTTAAACTACTTTTATTACTACTACTTAGTCAATTAAATTTCATTCATTCATCAATTCCTTACTGAGTATAAATAAGGCTCTAAGTGCAGCATCCTCTGAAAGACAAAGGGATACTCGGAGCATAAAGGAAAAAATACCCTACTTTACTTTGTACTACTCGAATAACTTTTTCTAGAAGGAAATACTGTCAAGCTGTGTTTCTCTGTTAATAATAACACATATTGTTTGGAGACCTCCCTGGTGGTCCAGTGGCTCACCTGCCAATCCCAGGGACACTGGTTTTATCCCTGGTCTGAGAAGATCCCACATGCTGTGGGGCAACTAAGCCTGTGCATCACAACTACCTAGCCCATGCTCTGGAGCCCACAAGCCACAAAAGAAGGCCACACGCCACAACTGGAGAGTAGCCCCCTGCTCACCTCAACTAGAGAAAGGGGTTCGTGGCCCAGCACAGCCAAAAATAAATAAATACATTTTGTAAGTGTCTTCATCTTTAAATCAATTTAAAAACTAAATTCAATGTAGCTACAATATTATTGAAACACAGGGTGAACCCAAAGTGGAAACACAACTGAATCATACATGCAACTAAAGAAACAGTATGTCATAAACAGTAAATCTGATAAAGTAAAAACATAAAACGTACCAAAATAGCAAGCTTACATGAAGTTGCAAGTTCTCTCATGTCCCTGAAAGGCTGCACTAAATACTGGAAGAACATGGTTGTCGCAGTAACTAATTCCTGGTACACTTCATCTTCCTCTCGATACACATGCATTAATGCTACCATGGTGTTGGCTTTTTCATGCCCTTGAAGCAACTAGAAGGCAAAATGTAAATAAAGTTCAAGTATGGACAGTATGAGATCACACCAAACCAACAGAGCTAAAGAAACCTGAATGTTCTAAACATTAACGTATCAATTTAAAATACTGATTAAACATGAAAATGCTATTGTCCTTCAACCGAAATGCCCAGTAAGAATGGTTAAATAAATCATGGTACATCCATAGTAAAAATACTATTACTGTAATCATTCATTCAGCACTGTGCTTTTGCCCGGTTCAGTAATCTGGGCACTTTTATAGTAATAAATGGGAGACAGAGGAGGATGTAGAGTTGAAAATTTATGTCCCAAGTATGTAGTACATGAAAAGGACCTGAAAGAGGATATTTTTCCATCACTTTTTTGAACATAAAGGTATTCTGAGAATGCACTCCTTTTTTTAAAACTGCTAAGGGACTTCCCTGGTGGTCCAGTGGTTAAGACTGCGTTTCCACTGCAGGCAGCATAGGTTCAATCTCTGGTCAGGGAACTAAGACCCTACATGCCATGTGATGCAATCAAAACAAACAAAAACAAACAGATAAACTCATAAGGACACAGAGATGATTCTAAGTACTTCGCCAGCATGTTGACTCTCTCAATTCCCCCAGGTTAGTATTCCCACCAATTCCCCAGCCGAGTGGACTCATTCACAGCATCACAAATGGGGCTCCAGCCTCTGAAGAATGCTTCAGGCAAGACATAAATTGAGCCCTTATAATCTAGAAAAACTCATTTGGTAAGAAACTACTGCCCAGGAGAAGAGAAATAAAATCAAGTAATAATATAAACTCCCCACCCCCACCCCTCGGTCAGTACATCCTTAAATTCTTCTATTTCCTTCCCTCCAGTTAAGGATAAAGTGATCTATGTTCAGTAGTCATTTTATCCAGGTGATAACAGGATTACCCACCCCCCCCCAAAAAAAGCAAGTTTCCCTCAAGAAAATTAAAACACGTGAAAAAGTAAACTTAAGACAACTGATGTTTTTCAGCCTTTTTTTTTTTCAGTCTTATTTCTTAAGACTATTCAAAGTTCAAAACATTCAGTTTCACTTTCTATATTCTAGCAATGTTAGTAATTGATCTATTCTAGAATCAATTGCTTTCCTGTTCTAAATATGAGCTGAGTACTAAAATTATTACGTGCACTTCCATGGATGCAGTGTATTTAAGCCCTCACCCCACCCACATGTTCCAGGTAAACAGGTGAACTATACCAGTGTCAACAGCTAGCTTAACAGTATGAACTATACTAGTGCCATGATACCTCTGAATGAACTCAAACTTGGATAAAGTGTATATACTTTTACAATAGTAACATATGCTAGTTAGGGGAAAACCACTTCTCTCTGTGAGAAACCAGGTGTCTGAAAAATAAAAGTGATTCAACATGGTAAAGCTGAAGATCAAAGGTTAACTAGCCTGAAACTGCCCTGTGGTTTCTTCATATTATCAAGTGGAATAAACCTAATAGAAGTGGGTGTATAAAAAGCTCATTCTATATTTAGCTTGAGAGACTATAATTACGATTTTGGAACGTGGCTAAATTTTTATTACACCTCCCCTTCCTCAAATGAATGCAGAGAAAAATCATTTTGATTAAGAACGACCTAAAAGTGAAAAAGGGCTTCCCTGGTGGTGCGGTGGTAAAGAATCCGTCTGCAATGCAGGAGACGCGGGTTCGATCCCTTTGTGGGGAAGATCCCCTGGAAAAAGGAAATAACAAGCCACTCCAGTATTCTTGCCTGGGAAATCCCACGGACAGAGGAGCCTGGTGGGCTACAGTCAATGGGGTCAGAGACACGACTTAGCAACTAAAACAACAAATAGTGAGAAAGGGCAAGCGAGAGGCATGTCGGGGTGTAGCATAGAGAACTCAGTCTTAAGGACAGTCAATTCGTTGTGTATATATGAGCCATGTTTTCCTCTTAAACCCTTTTTTAAATCCCCTTCAGTTCTGTAAACTTAGCACTCAAAAAATGAATCGTTCAATCGTTCTAACAACCTCTTTCAAGCTTAAAACTGCTTTCCTATTGCTGCTGTTCCAAACTGATGAATACAGCTCATATTCTATCGGCTTTCCACTGAACCAAGTCTGCTTTGTTTTGTTGGCCCCACTGCGCACACGGGGTCTTGGCAGCCAGTGCCCCGTCGCAGTGCAAAACGGGGAGTCCTTTCCTTGGACTACCAAGGAAATCGCCTCAACAAGTCCTTCTTACCTCAAAAGCCTGGGTCCCAGAAGCCCCTTCATCCTCTAACACATCTTGTCTCCTTTATGGGTCTTCCCCCTCAAACGCGAAACCTGCTTTTGGTTACGGTCAGTCCTCGTTATCACTTCCTACACTCATGGGATGTTTCTAGTTCCTCTTTCAGTATTCTCTGGCATTTCCGGTCACAACAGCCTGCACTGCCAATATCTCCAGGGGAAATGTTTAAGAGCCTACTCTGGCTCTGAACTGCGAATAAACTTTAACTCAGTCCTCTCGCCAGGCCCCGTGCAGGTTCCGCCGGAAGTCCCCTCGCTGCTGCCCGACAGGTGAGGCACCTGCGAGGCTGCGCGCCCCTTCCGCGCATCACGCAGATAACGGGAAGACCCCACTCTCGCGCTCGTCCCTCCCCAGGCAAAGGAACACGGAAAGGACCTGCGTGGGCCCGGCGGGAGCGTACCTGGCGCAGCCGCGCGCTCGCCTCGTCGCGCCGCGCGCGCAGGGCTCGCTCCCGGAATTCTCGCGTGATCTCGCAGTCGGCCGCGCAGCCCTGGCCCGGGAAGAGCGCGTCGCGCACAGCCGCGCCGCCGCAGCCGTCGGCCGCCTGGCCGAGGTAGCGTTCCAGCTGCCCGCACAGCTCCTGCAGCGCCGCCTCGCTCGGGCCCGCGGGCGCCGGCCACACCAGCGTCCACAGCCCGAACCCCAGGCCCCAGGCCCCGCCGCCGCCCGCATCTAGCTCCGGCGGCAACAGCGGGAAGCAGCGCTCAGACAAGTCACGGCGAACTTGCCCTCCACATCATTCCAGGCCACCAGGAAGCGCAGCTGGTGCCGCTCGGGCTCGGCGAAGAGGTCCTCACGGACCGGCACCCAGCCCTCCAAGCTGTCGGGCTGCTCGTCCTCCATGGCCGCCGGCGGTCAGCGCCCGGAGGACTCGGCTCGCCTGAGCCTGGTCTCGCACGAGCAGCCGCTGAACAGTCCGGACCGCGTCATTTTTCGCTTAACTGGAATCGGCGTCAGCACCTCCACCACCGCCACCCTCGGCACTTTTGATTGGCTGTCTTTTGCCTGGGAGGCTTCCAACAACGCTTCCGCGATTGGTTGGATGATAGATGGGAGGGTTCGCGACAACCAATGAAATGGCCAAGAGGTCGCCGCTCGTAATCAGTCAATGTCGCAACCTCGTCCGGATCCTGGGATTACCACTCTTGCCTCACCTTTTCCACCTATGAACACATTGACATTGAAAAAATATTTGTTAAACGAACTAGTTGTTGTCTTAGCCTCCTACACGAAACTGTGAGCCTCTTGAGAGCGGAAACCCGGTTGACTGGGTCTTCTAGCATCAGAGCCCTAGTGAATACATCGTTCCTGAGCTCAAGAACGTTGAGGTAAAACATTAAACTTAGTAGTTACTTGTTGAGGGCGTAAGTGCCAGGCACTAGGTAGAAGCCGCAAGTTTGTTGGTATCAATTCAGCAAGCTATTATGGAATGTATAATGTTTGGGGAGGCTGCGCACGAAGGGGGCATGCCCCCCAAAAAGAAAAAAGATACCTCCATCTTCAAAGCCTTCTGGCTCCCAACCAACATGTTTAAATACCATCCATGTTCTAACTTGTCATTTTAGAGATAAGGAAACTGAGATCCAGAAAAGAAACTTTTCTTAAGAGACACTTCAGACCACCTGGCTACTGAAGACCTGTTTAAGGAGATAGGGTGATGTACTTTCAGGTGGGGATGGAGTGTGGGTTGGAGCTGAACCTGTTCATACAACAAGGAATAAGGCAGCACTGGTCTCTACCTAGGAAATGTACAGTGTAGACGGAAATACAGTACATGTCAGCTCCCATCCTGAGAGAGCTGCTAGGGTGGTAGTGGAGTGGAGGACAGAGAGGGAGGAACAAGAAGCCAGGGAGCAGGGAAGAAGCCCTTCATCTAAACAAGGTTTGTGAAAGTTTGATTCAGGAACCAGTGAAGGGATTGTTGAAGTTTTTGAGCTAGGAAAACCTGGAATCAGATTTCCAACAATGATCCTTCCCCCCAGCAAAGAAAAACAGGGCCAGGCTGAAACTATGGTTAGGGCATCTGCCAGCCTGAAGACAATCCCTTGGCAGATGATCTAGCCCCAAGGCAACTAAGAGACTCTAGGAAAGTAGCTTGAAGGTAAAATTGCCTCTATCTGAAAGTCCTTCCCTTTAATACCAAAGAAAGGTGGGGCCCTGAGTCTTGGATTCCTAACAGCTGCTCTGCTTGTCATTTGAGGAGAGAACCTTTCAGCTGAAGTGATTTATTTTCCCTCAAGCTATTTTTTAATGTATCAGCTAATATGATTTACTTACAATTCAGGTCTGTTTCTTCTAAGAGATTTTTAACAGATAAGAGTTAAAGTCATCTGAGTTAAATTCACCCATTCCAGTCCATTTTAGTTCACTGATTCCTTAAATGTCAATGTTCACTCTTGCCCTCTCCTGTTTGACCACTTACAATTTGCCTTGATTAATGGACCTAATATTCCAGGTTCCTATGCAGCATTGCTCTTTACAGCATCGGACTTTACTTTCATCACCAGTCACACCCACAGCTAGGTATTGTTTTTGCTTTGGCTCTGTCTCTTCATTCTTTCTGGAGTTATTTCTCTGTTGATTTCCAGTAGCGTATTGGGCACCTACCGACCTGGGGAGTTCATCTTTCTGTGTCCTATCTTTTGGCCTTTTCATACTGTTCATGGGGTTCTCATGGCAAAAATACTGAAGTGGTTTGCCATTCCCTTCTCCAGTGGATCACGTTTTCTCAGAACTCTCCACCAAAAGTCCCATAGAAGAATTGGAGTAGCCATCATAATCAACAAAAGAGTCCAAAATGCAGTACTTGGATGTAATCTCAAAAATGACAGAATGATCTCTGTTCATTTCCAAGGCAAACCATTCAATATCACAGTAATCAAGTCTATGCCCCAACCAGTAATACTGAAGAAGCTGAAGTTGAATGGTTCTATGAAGACCTACAAGACCTTCTAGAATTAACACCCAAAAAAGATGTCATTTTCATTATAGGGGACTGGAATGCAAAAGTAAAAAGTCAAGAGATACCTGGAGTAACAGGCAATTTGGTCTTGGAGTACAAAATAAAGCAGGTCAAAGACTTACAGAGTTTTGCAAAGGGAATGCACTGGTCATAGCAAACACCCTCTTCCAACAACACAAGAGAAGATTCTACACATGGGCATCACCAGATGGTCAATATCTAAATCCAATTGATTATATTCTTTGCAGCCAAAGGTGGAGAAGCTCTATATAGTCAGCAAAAATAAGACCAGGAGCTGACTGTGGCTCTGATCATGAACTTCTTATTGCCAAATTCAGACTTAAATTGAAGAAAGTAGGGAAAACCACTAGACCATCCAGGTATGACCTAAATCAAATCCCTTACAATTATACAGTGGAAGTGACAATTAGATTCAAGGGATTAAATCTGATAGACAGAGTGCCTAAAGAACTATCGGTGGAGGTTTGTGACATTATACCAGAGGCAATGATCAAGACCATCCTCAAGAAAAAGAAAGGCAAAAAGGTTGTCTGAGGAGTCCTTACAAATAGCTGAGAAAAGAAGAGAAGCTAAAGGCAAAGGAGAGAGGGAAAGATATACCCATCTGGATGCAGAGTTCCAAAGAATAGCAAGGAGACATAAGAAAGCCTTCCTCGGTGATCAGTGCAAAGAAATAGAGGAAAATAATAGACTGGGAAAGACTAAAGATCTCTTCAAGAAAATTAGAGATACCAAGGGAATATTTCATGCAGAGATGGGCACAATAAAGGACAGAAATGCTATGGACCTAACAGAAGCAGAAGATACTAAGAAGAGGTGGCAAGAATACACAGAAGAACTATACAAAAAAGATCTTCACAACCCAGATAACCATGATGGTGTGATCACTCACCTAGAGCCAGACATCCTGGAATGTGAAGTCAAGGGGGCCTTAGGAAGCATCACTATGAACAAAGCTAGTGGAGGTGATATTAAAACAGACTAGTTCAGTTCAGTCACTCAGTCATGTCCAACTCTTTGCGACCCCATGGACTGCAGCATACCATGCTTCCCGGTCCATCACCACTCCCAGAGCTTACTCAAACTCATGTCCATTGAGTTGGTGATACCATTCAACCATCTCATCCTCTGTTGTCCCCTTCTCCTGCCTTCAATCTTTCCCAGCACAGGGTCTTTTCAAATGAGTCAGCTCTTTGCATCAGAGGGCCAAAGTAATGCTCAAAATTCTCCAAGCCAGGCTTCAGCAGTATGTGAATTGTGAAATTCCAGATGTTCAAGCTGGATTTAGAAAAGGCAGAGGAACCAGAGATCAAATTGCTAGCATCCATTGGACCATAGAAAAAGCAAGAGAGTTCCAGAAAAACATCTCAGTCAGTCAGTTCAGTCGCTCAGTTGTGTCCAACTCTTTGCAACCCCATGGACTGCAGCACGCCCAGCCTCCCTGTCCATCACCAACTCCCAAGTTTACTCAAACTCATGTCCATTGAGTCGGTGGTGCCATCCAACCATCTCATCCTCTGTTGTCCCCTTCTCTCGCCTTCAATCTTTCCCAGCATCAGGGTCTTTTCCACTGAGTCAGTTCTTCACATCAGGTGGCCAAAGGAGTACTTCAAGGCTGTATATTGTCACCCTGCTTCTTTAACTTATATGCAGAGTATATCATGTGAGATGCCCAGCTAGATGAAGCACAAGCTGAATCAAGATTGCCAAGAGAAATATCAATATCCTCAGATATGCAGATGACACCACCCTTATGGCAGAAAGCGAAGAAGAACTAAAGAGCCTCTTGATGAAAGTGAAAGAGGGGAGTGAAAAAGTTGGCTTAAAACTCAACATTCAGCAAACTAAGATCATGGCATCTGGTCCCATCATTTCATGGCAAATAGATGGGGAGACAATGGAAGCAGTGACAGACTTTGTTTTGGCGGGCTCCAAAATCACTGCAGATGGTGATTGCAGCTATGAAATGAAAAGGTGCTTTGCTTCTTGGAAGAAAAGCTATGATCAACCTAGAGAGCATATTAAAAAGCAGAGACATTACTTTGCCAACAAAGGTGCATCTAGTTAAAGCTATGGTTTTTCCAGTAGTCATGTATGGGTGTGAGAACTGGATCATAAAGAAGGCTGAGCACCAAAGATTTATACTTTTGAACTGTGGTGTTGGAGAATGCTCTTGAGAGTCCCTTGGACAGCAAGGAGATCCAACCAGTCAATCCTAAAGGGAATCAGTCCTAAATATTCTTTGGAAGGACTGATGCTGAAGCTGAAACTCCAAAACTCCCCTGATGCAAAGAGCTAACTCATTTGAAAAGACCCTGATGCTGGGAAAGATTGAAGGCAGGAGAAGGGGACAACAGAGGATGAGATGGTTGAATGGTATCACCAATTCAACGGACATGAGTTTGAGTAAGCTCTGGGAGCGGTGATGGACAGGAAGCATGGTATGCTGCAGTCCATGGGGTCGCAAAGAGTTGGACATGACTGAGTGACTGAACTGAACTGAACTAGTCTGTTTTAATATATTTTTGTATATTCTTTTTAAAAATAATTAATTTACTTGTTGGCAGTGCTGAGTCTTAATTGCTGAGCGGACTTTTTCTCTAGTTGCAATAAGCAGGGGCTACTCTCTAGTTGCGGCACCCTGGTTTTCCACTGTCCTCTTGTTGCAGAGGACTGGCTCTAGGGCATGCGGCCTTCGTAGTTGCATCACATGGGCTCAGTAGTTGCAGCTCTCAGGCTCTGGAGCACAGACTCAATAGTTTTGGTGCATGGGTTTAGTGGCTCTGTGGCAAGTGCGATCTTCCCGGATCAGGGACCAAACCTATGTCTCCTGCATTGGCAGGCAAATTCTTGACCACTGAGCCACCAGGGAAGCCCCTGTATATTCTTTATAGAATGTCTTTTAACTATTTTTTATATTATTTTATCATTTCTATTAGTCTTTCTAATTATTTGCTTTTTCAAAATGAAATTAGCAGGCTTTCTGTAATTTTTATTTCATGTGAGGGGAATAAATGTATATATTCTTAGAAAAAATGTGGATAAGTATACACCAAACCTAATAATTGTTGTTACCATGATGTATGACTGGTTTACATTCACTTTATGGTTTGGTTCTTTTGTACTATTTGCTTTTTTCTAAGTCAAACACTATATGCTATTTAAAATAGGAAATAAATACTTTTTAAAAGTAGCACATGGAAAATATAATTATTATAAAATGGACACATCAGAGATAAAAAGATAAAAGTAATATAACTCAGAAGACATAAACCTTGCTTTCACTTTGTGTGTGTGTATATATATTTACTCAGGTCAGTCACTCAGTCATGTCCACCTCTTTGCAAACCCGTGGACTGCAGCACACCAGGCTTCCCTGTCCATCACCAAATCTCGGAGTCTGTCATCGAGTCGGTAATGCCGTCCAACCATCTCATCTTCTGTTGTCCCCTTCTCCTCCTGCCTTCAGTCTTTCCCAGCATCAGGGTCTTTTCCAATGAGTCAGCTCTTTGCATCAGGTGATTTTATACTATAATAATATTTTGCATAATTTCTTAATTAATTTTTTAATTGAAGGATAATTGCTTTACAGAATTTTGTGGTTTTCTGTCATACATCAACAAGAATCAGCCGTAGGTACACCCCTGTCCCTGATATTTTGCATAGTCTTTCTACTTTCTACTCTTTGTACAAATATATTGTGGGCATTTCCCACATTTAAAAAATAGGTATCTACAGCATTATTTTAATACTTGCCAACACTCAGTTGACATTATTGTGATTTATTTAAATGATTCTATTTTGGTAGAAATAGATTAACTTCAATTTTCTGCCAATAGAGATAATGCTGTGGTGAACCTTCTTGTACATGCATCTTTGCATAATTTATTCTTTCAAATTCTTTGCTTTTGATGTTTTATTTGCTTCCAATATTTTTGCCATATAGATACTTGGCAGTAACAATGTTTTTTAAAATAAAATTTTGATTAAGGTTTCAAAAAGCAATAGATGTCAAATTCTAAGATCAAATCACCATGTGCAGACTTTTAAAGGAAATGGTCCAGAACCCTGCACCAATGGAAAAAAATAAAAAGGGATCAGAGTGAAGAAGAGAGGGTGTCTGGGAGGGAGACTAGTGGAGCAATTTTTCTGGAGAGAGCTGTGGTTGGACTGGCGGGGTAGGGACGGTATTGGAAATCCTACCCTTTACCCCTAAGCCCCGTGAGGGGTCTTCAAAAACAGGACCCTTCAGAGAGTTTGCTGTATTTCCTGCAGGTGGGCCAACAGTGGCCGGAGGAGAGAAGACTGGCTGCTCTGGTGGTTGAGCTGGTGGAGTGGCTGTGTTGGAAGCATCTGCATCCCAGAGTTTGCCAGGACCAAGGATGGAGCCCGCATCCCAAGATCCAGATGTGGGCCAGCTGGACCACCGAGCCAGCAGGAGGTGCCTGGATCCTGCCTGAGAGAACCAGCTGCGTGGGTGAGGGGACCTCATTTGAGGAATCTTAGAGGTGGCCCCCCAGAGCCTGGAGGAGGAGTGCAAGGGACCCCCTGAAATAGAGAGGTTCTCAGCCTGGCGGTGGGAACTCCAGGGGAAAGCATCATGGGGAGCCCCAGAGATGCAGGAAAGCTCAGAGAGATCTGAGTGTCTGCCCCAGAGAAGAAGAAGCTAGCACCCACCCTCTGTGGCCCCAGAGAAGAAGAAGCTAGCACCCACCCTCTGTGGCATTAGTTCAGATAGGCACTGCCTTATCACCTTATCGCCTCCTGCCCCTGGCAAACAAACCAGCAGCTTTGGGAGGAGGTGCAGGGAGAAAAGGCAGATTTCTAGCTGCAGAAGCCTCAGCTGGGGAGCGGAGGAGATTTTGATGCTGGCCAAACTAATTTTGTGCATTGTGCTAGGTGCTAAGTCACCTTAGTCATGTGCTACTCCTTGCAACCCTGTGGACTGTAGCTCACTAGGCTTCTCTGTCCATGGGATTTTCCAGGCAAGAATACTTCAGGGGGTTGCCATTCCTTCCTCCAGGGGATCTTCCCAACCCAGGGACTGAACTCACGACTCTTACATCTCCTGCATCTGCATTGGCAGGCAGGTTCTTTACCACTAGTGCCACCTGAAAAGTCCAAACTAAGTTTGACATTTTAATTAACATTTTGGACTGTACCTTCCATTACTGAATGGAGACTATGCCTTCGAATGACCCTAGGACTGTGTGTTACCTAAGAGGGAGCAGGAAGTCCTCGGTGTGCTGGATTTTTATCCTGAGAGGAGAATACATGAGTAAATGTTCAAGGAATTGTGGGAGAAAAAAATTAAGTTGTGTTTGATTACCTTTGGAGTTGTGCTTGTTGAAAAGACTCTGGGTAAAGCCCCTCAGGCCAGGTGGATACCTGGGGACTCCCAGAAGTCCTCCTCCTCTTTGTGGCCTGCAGACAGCCTCCTGCCCTTGCTGTGACAGCCCTCCACCCTCTATACATGACTAGACATCTTAATCCCCTCCATGGAGGCACCAGACTACAGTCCCCACGGTAATGGAAGTAATTCAGGGGACAGCATGTAACTTCTGCTGGTGACACTTGAGTGGTCAGCAGTGGGCAGGTCTATATTTGGGCTTTCACTCATGGCAGGCCTGTTGCTATTTGCAGCCGGACCAGCTCATGTTACCATCACCTTTACCACTTGTGGAACTGTGGCTAAAACGGGCAGGAGAGGCTTGCTGGGCACACAGAGGTCACCAGGAGGGAAAGCCTGCTGAACACGAACACAGTTTCTAGCAGTTACCCACAGCCTCCAAGTTAAAAGAAGACTTTATGGATCCTTAAATTAGCAGGCAAGTTTTTGTGTAGTCATTCTTCTAATGCAAAATGTTTACTAGAAACCCAGTAACTTAGTGCCACAATGTCTTCCTTTAGGTGGGAAGAGATGTCATCTTAAATTGCAGATGTGTTTACATTGCAGTAAACAATGTGAACGTTTCCTGTGCCTTCTTACAGCAAGGACTCAAGAACGTGGCCTCAGTACAAGGCGTGAAAGCCTCAGATACAGATAGAGAGAAGCCAGTGGTTCTTGCAGTGTGTCCTTACGGTATTTTTAGTGCAGGGGTCCATTTGTCAGAACAGTTTGGAACCTTGAATGTTGACACTATTTGGCTATGGTATCAGGTTGATAAATACGTTTTATTTTAATCTGCATGTGTATGCTGCCAAACCATAATTTTAAGCTTCGATTCAAATACTGAAAAACAGCATCATAATCACTTTTTACTTGTTATGCATCCCCCTCCTCCCTTAGAAAGTTTTCAGGTGTAGGCTGTGCAGATTTGAACCATCTTGCAAAACTGTACCGCTGGGCACTTCCCTGGTGGTCCAATGGTTAAGCCTCCGTGCTCCCAATGCAGGGAGGGGTACAGAGGACACAGGTTGAATCCCTGCTTGGGGAACTAAGATCCCACCTGCCACACTGCCAGAATAAATTAAAAAAAAAAAAACAACACTATACAGCTAACACTTTAAAGCAGGTTTCTTTAGACCTTGACTCAGAAATTGCCAGGAGATACACGGGTGAGCTTCTCAAATTGTACACAAAACTATGTCTATGCCCTTATCAGCTACTCTTGGGGAAAGAATTCACAGCTTTCAGTGGATTCTCAGGGATATCCATGACCCATAAAAAGTTAAAAGAATTGTTTTTTTATCGGAAATTTTTCTAATTAAAGTGTAGGAACACACCTATGTAAGACTTAGGCAAAAGTCTCTTTTTTTAACTGCGGATCAATTGCATAGACTGGAAGCTACCCAACTAATGTATTTTTTTAACATTTATTTAATTTATTTATTTGGCTGTGCCAGGTCTTAGTTGTGGCATGTGGGATCTAGTATCCCAACAAGGGATCTAACCTGGGCCCTCTGCATTGGGAGTTCAGAGTCTTAGCCACTGGACCACCATGGAAATCCCTAATATGTTTTTTATAAATTATGATTTATTACTGTATTTCTCTGAGCCTTGGTTTTACACTTATCAAATAACAATTTAGTGTTAATATTCCTCTCTCCCCCAGTTCTGAATATTTTGTTAAGAAATGGAAAGAGTCTAGATATTAAGGGGAAAAGTGAATGTAACTGTGGGGTGTGTCACAATATTTCTCCTGTTGCTGCCAAGCTTCTAAACCAGTTTGTGTTTGTTCATTCAAAGGATGAAAGTTGGTGTGGAAGAACTCCTTTTTATTCTTTTTTTTTTTTTTAAATCGTTGCTGTATTTCCCATCTAGTACTTTTATTTATTTATTTTGTTCTTTTAAAAAAAATTTTAATTGGAGGATAATTGCTTTGTATATATGTATATATACATATATATGTATATATATGTCCCTTTTCTCCTGAGCCTCCCTCCCACCCATCCCCATCCCACCCCGCTAGGTCCTCACAGAGCCCCAAGCTGAGCTCCTTATGTTATACAGCAGCTTCCCATTAGCTATCTATTTTACACACAGTAACGTATAAATGTCAATGCTAATCTCCAGATTCATCCCATGCTCTTCTTCCCGCCATGTTCACAAGTCCATTCTCTATGTGTTCATCTCTATTCCTGACCTGCAAATAATTTCATCAGTACCAATTTTCTAGACTCCATATATATGTGTTAATATATGGTATTTGTCTTTCTCTTTCTGACCTACTTCACTCTGTATAAGAGACTCTATGTTCATCCACCTCGGTTCAGCTGACTGAAATTCTTTCCCTTTCGTGGCTGCCTAATTTTCCATTGTGTGTGTGTGTGTGTTTCTTTACACATTCCTCCATTGATGGACATGTCTTAACTGTTGTGAATAAAGCTACAATGAACATGAGGGCAGGTATCTCTTCAAGATTATGACTTCATTTTCTTCAGATCCATACACGGAAATGGGATTGCTGGATTGTATGATAGTTTTATTTTTAATTTTTTGAGGAGCCTCCATACTGTTTTTCATAGTGTTTTTCATGTTTTTCATAGTTTCTCATAGTTTTCTACACTCAGACCAACAGTTGACAAGAATTCCATTTTCCACATCCTTATCCACACTTCAATTCACTCACTCAGTGGTGTCCAACCCATGGACTGCAGTGTGCCAGGCTTCCCTGTCCATCACCAACTCCCAAAGCTCACTCAAACTAATGTCCATCGAGTTGGTGATGCCATCCAACCATCTCATCCTCTGTCGTCCCATTCTCCTCCCGCCTTCAATCTGTCCCAGCATCAGGGTCTTTTCAAATGAGTCAGTTCTTCGCATCAGATGGCCAAAGTATTGGAGCTTCAGCTTCAGTCCTTCCAATGAATATTCAGGATTGATTTCCTTAGGATTGACTGGTTTGATCTCCTTGCAGTCCAAGGGACTCTCAAGAGTTTTCTCCAGCACCATAGCTCAAAAGCATCCATCTTCGGCACTCAACTTTCTTTATGGTCCAACTCTCACATCCATACATGACTACTGGAAAAACTATAGCTTTGACTAGACGTACCTTTGTTGGAAATGTCATGTCTTTGCTTTTTAATATGCTGTCTAGATTGGTCATAGCTTTTCTTCCAAGAAGCAAGCACCTTTTAATTTCATGGCTGCAATCACCATCTGCAGTGATTCTGGAGCCCAAAAAAGTAAAGCCTGTCACTGTTTCCATTGTTTCCCAATCTATTTGCCATGAAATGATGGGACCAGATGCCATGATCTTAGTTTTCTGAATGTTGAGCTTTAAGCCAACTTTTTCACTCTCCTCTTTCACTTNTATTTAAAATTAAAAAGAAAACAGGGTTTCCCAGATGGCCTAGTGGCAAAGAATCTGCCTTCAAACCCTGAGTCAGGAAGATCCCTTGGAGAAGGAAATGGCAACTCACTCCAGTATTCTTGTCTGGAAAATCTCATGAACAGAGGAGCCTGGCAGGCTCAGTTCATAAGGTCATAAACAGTCAGACATGATTTAGCAACTAAACAACAGGAGTCAAAAGAAAACTAGCAGAAGAAATGAAATATGAACACAGCCATCAAACTTTGGAAAGGGAAGGAGAAGAAAGGTAGGGAGAAAGGATGAGTGAAATCCCCCCTGTTCATAGAGGGAAATCAGTAAATTATGTCTAAAGTTGATAAGTCAAGCAATGGCAAAATAAAGAAGTAAGGCAGGATGGTCCTATCTCAAAATACTAAATTAGCTGTTCCCTGTGCATTTCTCTCCAGATTTTCTCGTATTTGTTCCCCAAGTGTTATTTCCCTCCTTCCATACTTACCACCAGACTATACCAAAGGGGAAAACAAAGATTCAAAGAGCCAGACTCAGATTTGCAGGGCTTTTCCTCTAGGAGAGGCTGAGTAAGACTGGATGCAGAGAAAAGTATGAGAGAAGGTGAGGGGTAACACAGAGAAAGGAAGCGGAAGATATCCTGGAGGGACAGAAAAGGACCAGCTCCCACGAGGTTTGGAAAGCAGTGCAGAAAGGATTCAGATGAGCTGTCCTCAACTGTGGACTACTTTACACCAATCCATCTACTTGGACAACAGGTCTGCTGCTGCTGCTGTCGCTTCAGTCGTGTCCGACCCTGTGCGGCCCCATAGACGGCAGCCCACCAGGCTCCCCCGTCCCTGGGATTCTCCAGGCAAGAACACTGGAGTGGGTTGCCATTTCCTTCTCCAATTCATGAAAGTGAAAAGTGAAAGTGAAGTCGCTCAGTTGTGTCCGACTCTTCGCGACCCCATGGACTGCAGCCTACCAGGCTCCTCTGTCCATGGGATTTTCCAGGCAAGAGTACTAGGGTGGGTTGCCATTGGCTTATCATATAGATAGTTTCCAAATATTTTCTCCCATTCCATAGGTTGCCTTTTCATTTTATTGATTGTTTCTTTTGCTGTGCAAAAGCTTTTTAGTTTGATGTAGTCCCACTTGTTTATTTTCGCTTTTGTTGCTTGTACTTTTGGTATATGTGGAAATTTCCCCCCATGTGTTCTTCTAGGACTTCTGTGGTTTTAGTTCTTACATTTAAGTTGTTAATCCATTTTGAGCTTATTTTGATGAGTGGCATAAGATAGGGGTCAAGTTTCATTCTTTTACATGTGATTATCCAGTTTCCCCTTCACTGCTTATTGAAGAGTCTGTCCCTTTGCACAATGGAGTAACTCTGCTTAGTTACACAGACACACAGGAGAGTGGAGGCAGTACCTAGAGTCCCTTCGGACAGCAGACTCTGATTGCTTTGTTGACCAAATAATGAATGTGGGGACCTGGGATGGATCATAATCCAGGGAGAAGGCAAAGTGGTGCTTTCATGGTTATACGACCCTGTTGGCCTTGTTGTTTAGTCACTAAGTCATGTTCAACTGTTTGCGACCCCATGGACTATAGGCTTCTCTGTCCATGGGATTTCCTGGGCAAGAATACTGGAGTTGGTTGCCATTCCCTTCTCCAGGAGACCTTCCTGACCCAGGGATAAAACTCTTGTCTCCTGCATTGGCAGGTGGATTCTTTACCGTTGAGCTACCAGGGAAGCCCCTCACTCTTTGACTTTGCAGACATTTTAAGGGAGACCCTGGCTAAAGTAGTCCCTCGCAATGAACATGCTACCCAGGAAGAATTAGCAATCCTTTGGGTCTATTGTATATGTGTGTGTGTTTGTGTGTGTGTATCCCTGGCTTTTGTTTCTGTTGGGATACAGACTTATCATGAGATGTGTCCTGCTTCACTTGATGCATCCATACAACAGGCTGTGTTGATGAGGACATTCCAGGACCATCCAGCCAGGGTCTAGTAGTGAGCAGGGTTCTTACCAGCAACCCCAAAGAACATCCAGGTGCTCACCGTCTTCGCAAGTC